TATATATATATATATATATATTTCTATATACTTTTATATATACTTTTGTCCAGTGTGTTTTAATTAAATAAAGTCACAGCCTAAAATTGAATACTGGACATTGCTGGGCAGACCAGGATAAATCAAGAAGATGTATTGACAGCTGATGCACATGACAAAGTAAAACTCTGTGTTAATATAATATGAAAAAAAAAAATAAGTGCAAAAAAAGAAGGTGAAGGGGGAAAAAAAGGCTGCATGGTCTTGCCAGCAAGATAGAGAACTGAGCCAGCAATGCAGTTTAAGAAGTGAGAGCTGCACTGCAGATTGTGAACAAGTGGCTCTTGTTCATTCTTTTCCCACATATCACCTGCAATAAAACTGGGTCATTTAAGGTGCAGGGGAGGGGAAATGGAAAGGAAGAAAAAAAACAAGATCATTCCCTAAGGTTGTAACAATAAATACATTGATCCATATCAATATATTGATTAAACGATTAACATTTCAGTCAGAGGAAAATCAATATTTCCACTCACATAGTCATCATCAGGGTAGACCAGCTTTACCATGTCAGAATGTGAAGAGGGGATCTATCTTTTTTTTATAATTAAGAAGAATGCTGTTAATAATTTATTTGTTTAATGCCGGTGATACTTTTATTTATATATATAAATATTAATGACAGTGTTAGATAAGCCTATGATACGGCATCTTATAACTGCAGACTTGATAATAACAGATGAGGCAAGACTACTGTTTGATTTGTGATATTGGCAAACATCCAATTATCACTCAAACAAATACATACAAACTTGAATAGGATTAAAACAATTAATTGGATTAATCATGATTACTTAATCATTAAAATAATTATTAACTAATTTAGTAATCAATTAATCGATAACTGGAGCACACAGACTCCAACACCTGCCGTAAGCCGAAAGAACAACCTACTTAGAGCAGTAATTATGCTGAAATTGCAAAAAGATATTTAGACACTATGAATTTAAGATGCTATTAGGAAAAAAAAAATTCTGTTACAGCTGTAATATATTATTTGCATCATTAAAAAAATCTTTCTTTACACCACGACTGTTTCCTGGTAAGTGGAGTGAATACTTTCAGTCATAAGAACTCAAATGTTTACCATATTAACTTAAATAAGCGGTGAAAGGTGAATCTCATAGTTATTTGACAAAGTTTGAAGCAGGAGCAGCCATGGCGCCTGTGTGTGTAAACAGACCTAAGAAGTAGTAATACGCCGGCCACATCCGGTTCCTAAGCCAATTATAGGTTGTCTATCGTCATCATTAGTCTGTGCAGGCTACATCTGACATGTGTACTAATGTGATAAATCAACGGTATGTAAAGCAGTTCCTTAGCAACTAGATAGAATTCTCATAATAGCTACAAAATAAAAAAGGGGGCAGGAAAATAAAAGGTTTTGCATAAACAAAAGAAAGTGAAAAAGACTTCCCTGGAAAGCATCTCCAAAACATGACAATACCATGTGTGAAGTGTAATGTTTGCAGAATATTGCATCTCAGCCAAAATTATCTGTTTGAGCCTCGGCTGAAAACAGGCTCTTCCACATGTTTGCTGTGTCTCCTTTTTGTGGCTTTTGAAGCTGTCTAGTCTTTAATGGCATTCTATATATAAATATATATTCTATATTCTTGTTGTCTATCTTTCTTAAAGGCAGAATTTCTAGTGTGCAAGAAAAGTTCCCACCAGATCTATGAGTCTCTGCAGCTCCTTGAGAGTTACCATGACCCTACTAATGAATAAGACTCGCCTTGGCTGGCATATCGGTTTAAGTGGATGATGCTCTATTAATAGGTTTTTGTAAGTTCTGAGATGGTCTCATGACTTTTGGATTGATTGAATCTTCTTCTGAGAGATGTTCAAAGCTTGGGAAAAATTTTATCACCTAAACTTTCTATAAAACATTTCCACAACGTTATTGTTGAACTCTAAGGATTGTTCCTTGGTCTCCATGATCATGTTCACTCACTACTGCAATCTATTTTTTTAATCAGGCGAAATTTGGAAGCATTTGGTTGCACTGAATTGTATTTAGGTGCATTAATATAAGTGGGGCTGTGGTTCCAGGGTGAAACTATCGTAAAGGTTCAAGGGCTGTGAATACTTTTGTAAGGTACCATATATATTTTCAAACAAAATGCTGGAGCAAAACAAAAATTTCACTTCAAAAAAATTTACTTCATTAAACTTACAGTAAATGTAGCAGTTTTAATACTAGGGATTTAGGGATACTAGGGAATAGGATCATTCCATAAATGACTTTGGTGCCATTTTCTTAAATGTGAAGCCTTACCACTCTCTTTGCAATCATCCAGACAGCAAAGCATAACATATACAATGTCAGAATGGCTTTATATTGAATAATAATAGAGAACATCAAGCACAACTTTAATCAAATATAGATATATCCAAAGAATCAACCACTACTGAAACAACATCTGATCATTCCTTTAATAAAGAAGAGTGCATGCAAACCTGACACCCTCTGTTTCTGGCCTCATTACAGGGTTAATGAAAGCAAGAGGCTCAAGCTCCTTTGTAGCTCTGCTGGGACTCAACATTACTGGCAGCCAGACCCAGAAACCTACTTTTCCTACAGGCTCACTGACTGACGTGGTTCAGCTCATTGAAGAAGACCACACAGAGAAAAATATTGTTATTTACATGCTAGTAGTTGCACAACAGAAGAAGATGACTTCATTTAACTTTCAAAGCAACATTAACAGATATGCAAGGCAGACTGCTACAGAAGATCCTTTCCACCTGCAGATATCGACACCAACGACACGTCATAGAAAAACTGCTCATGAATTACAACAACATTTAATTTCCCTTTGGGATTAATAAAGTATTTTTTAATTGAATTGAAGTTATCCTGTCACATAAATTTGACAAATCTACAGGAAAACAAGCAACACTCTTTTCTGAAATAGCACTTCACCAGTTCATAACCCATGTTTTTTTTTTTTTTGTTTCTCCTAATCGGTTTTTCTAAACAGCATTGAACATAAGCTGAAGCCAAACATAGAGTGGAAGACAAAAATAAGGAGTTGGTTCTCCACTCAGCCCAGCCCCATCAATTCAACAGTGTTACCATGCCTACATGCTGGATCAATACAGTGTCTAAAAATAGCCTGCCCCAACAGCCTCATTTCCAATTACAGAGGGACAAACTGAGCAAAAGCAGTATTTATTGAGCAATGTCTAAGAAAACTGCTCGTTAGTGGGTATTATGTAAAAGTGGTGAATTTAATCCCCAACAGAAGGTTTCTGTTGGAAAACCTGATCCTGGGATTTCTTCAGCTGGCACTGGAATCTAATTGGAGTCAGGATCCTGCTGGGTTAACAGTGAAACAGATATAGATGAAAAGATAGATCAGAAAATAGGTTGAACAGATGACTAGAATGAGCATAAGACTGAGCATAAAAAGATCCTAGAGCAAAGACATTTTTTGAGAGCAGACCCCCTAATTGGTTATTTAGAGCATGATTAACTGCCAAGCAACACAAAGTATTAGGATGTGCTTGATCTCCAATGCAACCTGTTTAAAAATTATAATAATGTGGCTGTCAGGAGAAGAGCAGCCCAGTGTCACTACATTCAGAGATGCAGCATCACTCAAATACAGTGCAAGAAAGAGAAAAAGGGATCAGAGAGAAGATCAGAGAAAAATAAAACCCGATATGGATGAGACAGGCAGCATGAATGCTAACAGGGCTACCATGCCAACAGATTGGAAGAAATCTATTCCTTCACTCCCAAATACAAGCAAACATCAAAATGTGTTTGAACAAACACAAACTGCAGTGTAGAAGCTAGCTTTTATTTTAGCTATGCAGTAGGGGAAATATGTATGGATTGATTGAGTGGATGGTCTTTCTTTAAACAGATTTATTTTTGTGTTTAGAGATAATACTCTAGCCACACACTGCAGGTGAGACTCCATACATGGATTTCATTTAACCTTACCTCCTCTTGACCTCTGCATCAATCTTTTACTTTACACTGGTAAATGGGACTCAAATATGCATAAAATCGAAGGATGGGAAAATAAAATGAAAGCAAACGTATTACAGTAAACGTTTAACTGAACTCTCAACTATCCTCTTGCTGAAAAAAAAACTCTAAATCAAGTCACAGACTCTGCATCACACTGATAACAAAACCAAAATACTGCATATTTGCACCATATATATGTTTTGAAATGCTTTGAACTTCCATATCGTTGCATTTTGCACCATGTTTTTTTCCCCACATTGTTTACATTTGATCACTGCTGCACTTAAATGTTCTTTTCATTGCTAAGCTACTGCTCATTTATGCTGCTGACATGTCTGAAAGCTGTACAAAATTAAATTTCATTTTGTATATACTCTGTGTCATTTTGTATACACTATGTATATACAAAATGACAATAAAAGTTGTCTAAGTCTAAGTCTCTCTAAGCAAAAGTCAGAGGATGTTTTTTAAAATCTTTTTGTACATGCGACAGCATTGCCCCTTATCGAGAAAGAAAAAGACGCCTAAAAAGTGCAGCTTATTTTAATTTTCGGCTCCAGTGAAAGTTTAACAATGTCATTAAAATCTTAATACAACATCAAAATAGAGAATGTATAAAAATATCATTTGAGGCATTACTTTTTATGGCCTTTTGGCATTCAACTAAGCTTTTAATTCATCGAAAGATCCAGAAGCTGTAACACCTTAATACTCCATCTGCTGATTCATCTTTCATATCATTTCCTTAAAAAAACAACAAGAAGTATGGATGTGTTCAACCACATCCTCTGCTCTTACCATTAACACTGAAACTCCATGGGATGCATGCTTAGTCCATTCCCAAATGAATTTGTGCAAATGCATTTGGAAAGGACCAGGGAGGTTGGCTACAGTCCCATGGATCTTAAATGTCTAAATAATATGTACAGCTCACAGGAGCATCAAGCTACTTGGAGATGGTCTTTACTTTCAAAATGTTTGTTGATAATTTTCCTTCTAATCTCCTGAGTCAACTTTTTTCTTTGCTTTCTTTGCTTCATGTTGAGTGTGGTACACACCATGTCATCAAAGAGCACAGTGACTACCTTTAGCCCCATATATAGGCCCACTGACTGATTACCAGATTGTAGACACATGTGATGCTAAGTAGTGGACAGGCCTTGATTTAAACTTTTCTATTGAAGCATGATTAAAAAGCAATGTCTGACTTTATTTGTTCTTTTTAATAGGATTTTTTTATAAATGTGAATTTAGTCAGATTTAAGTTATTTTTGTGACTATTTTTGTGACATTATATTTTTTATTAAACAAGCAGTACCAATAATTATGCCCAAGTGTGTAAATATAAATATATGATTTTTTGATAAAGGTTTTTACAAAAAATATTTATATACAGCTAAAGCTCTACACATAACGCATCATAAGCCCATCAGCCAGCCGACAACAACAAAATGCAATGTCTATAGACCCAAAACGTTCCTTATCCCACTTAAATATAAATATTCCATCATGAAGTTATTTAATATTCAAGTTCTCTGAACTCCTAACCATCGTCTCTAAGCAGATTTTTTTTTAAATCTTTCTACACATAAAGAGAGCGTTGCTCCCCTCCATCCCAGCACACTATTCATCAACTTTATGCTACTCATCTACAAATGCTTCTCTATTAATTCTTGGTTATAAATCAGACTAGGGCAGCAAATAGCAATTATTTTGGTAATCGATTAATCTATCAATTATCTTTTTAATTAATCGATTAATAATCTGAGGCAAAAGGTTCCTTAAAGAAGATTTTTTACAGATTTACACCCAGTGAAACTACAACTTTTTAACTTGAGGAGTTTGGGGCAGAGCATATTGACAGACAAAAATAGTTTGTTTTGTTAAATGCAACATCCTTGCTTTTTACAATGCTGTTATATTTACTGCAATAAGTGGGTTGCTCTGATAGCTAAAGGCATGTTTTAGAGTCTCTATACTGCAGTTAACGATTAATCGATTACTAAATTGGTTGACAATTATTTTAATAGTCGATTATCACCATCAATCCGATTAACTTCTTCATCCCTAAACTGGACCAAACCCTCTACACTGATGAGAAAAAAAAATGCATTCCTTGCAGGACTTGATAAAAATAAAAGTGGACTTTGGTGACCCACTAAAAAAATCAACTAGTCTCACTGCTTTTACACTTTAAAAGAGACATTAGTAAGTCAGATATATTTTATGTTGAAGGTCTTGAAATGGAAATAAGAAAATCCAGAATAATGCCTTCATTTTCTTACCAGTTTGCCCTCCAACGTGTAGATCTTCTTCACCACTCCTGAGTCGAGCTTGATGGCATCAGTGATATCAGTTAGAACCTGCTCGTAGGAGTGAGCCGTTTTCTTATTCAGCAAGATCCTCACAGCTTTGCGGGGCTTAACTCCGCTCCGAACCACTGTCACCAGCTTTGGCCGGATGAAGTCCTTGCCTTCTCGACCCTCTGGTGCACCGGCTTTGGCAGAGCCCAGGGACAGAGGCCCACGAGATGAAGAGGGTGAGGCTTTGACATTCACTGACCAGTTGGGGTTTACATTTTTTGTGTAATCCAGCTTTTTGTAAGCTTCAATTGAGCTGCAGACATAGCTTTCACCTGTTAAAGAGACAAGCAATTGGAAAAACCATCAAAGATGAAAAACAAGTTTAAATTTAACAATTCATTGCTCTTCTAACTCACTTTTTATGATACCAGGCAACCGTTCAATTTAATGTATAAAACATGGAAATTCAACCATTGAGGATCTTAGTCTATGCATTAAAATAATCAACAAGATCAATAAAAAAACACCCAGATTATGATTTATATATTCATTTTGAGTGATATTGCTGATACTATGAAAAAAAATCTTATTTCCACTCTGCATTGTTATGCTGTGAGAATCTCACCGAAGCTCATGTCAGGGACATCTCAAAAAATTGGCCTGTGTTACTTTAGCCTCGGCTCAAGTTTATTGGCAAAGGGAGCTAAGCAAGATCACATAACACAGAGGTTTAAAGGACAGGGAGAGTTTACTCCTTAAGAAAGAGGATCAGACACATTTGAGATTATTTTGTGCAATCATTTTAATCAAACTTGCTTCCAAATAGCTGCAAAGCCAAACTAAGGTATAAGTGAACATAGTGATGAATTTGGGTCACCAAGATAGCAGGGGATGCACATTTGTTAGCTCAAAAAGTTGTTGGATTTGTTTTTTGTATTTTTTTTTTTTTTTTGTAGTCAAGTTTATAATGAATTGCGCAACATTTAAGTTCCCTCCATTGCTTTGGATTCAACAATGTGCAAGAAATATTTTGGTTCCTCTGTCTAACTAGATCTTAACAGAAATACTTTACTGAAATTTCTGCGCAAAATAAGTCAGAAAAAGGGATCAACAATTCATATTTGACAATATAAATCAGGACATCTTGAATAATGTACCATAACTGATTGCAAGCATGCATTGGAAAAACAAATACTCACTATTTATTAGAAAATATTGATATGTGTAAAGACTGATTTGAAAAACAAACATTCCCCAGTTTTCTGCTATTCCAACAATACCTACATCAACCCATGGATAGTTATAGCGTAATATTTGGGCAACTGTTTTATAAACATGGGAAACCATTTCTGGAAAGAAATTTTGTGTTTCTCTATTTATACTTGGACACGATATAAAAATATTAAAGTTGAAGTTATAACTATCAAATGCCATTTTCATTAGGGACAATTTTAGTGCACCAAAACTGAATGTACCCCAGGGGCCCATATTCTCCAAAATCTAATCATGCTTATTAATCCACTGACTGAATAGATCATCACAAAAACACACAACAGCCAAAAAATTAAGCAGGGTTGTGCTGTTGGGGCTGTTGCACAAGTATATCCTTTTTTGTTGCTGGGGCTAAATGCTATGTTTCTCTAAATGAACAAAGCTGTACCCCAAAAGCACAGGATGGCCTATATTAACCTCTGGTTTTCTTTTAAGGTGTGATCAGTGATGGTTCTTGATTAGGGTTTATAATGGGGGTCAAGGTTTGGGCCAAGGTTTTTTTTCATGAAGGAACAGGACAAACGAATAAAAAAAACACACAGAAAAACAAACAAACAGGGCTATAGCCCATAATTTAGTATATTAAGTGAGCCAGAAAGCCAAGGTTTCAGACTCTGGATAAAACAAATAAAGAAATGTCATGCTATCTTGGTACTATTACAGCTTAAAGCCAACTGCAATTCCAAAATAATGGCAGCATATATCATGTTAACAAATGGATTTAGTATTACACTACAATAGCATATCTAATAAAGTAAACATTACTTAAAATAAGTGTATTTTCCACTTAATTTGAGAAGGTAATTATGTCTATTTGTTACAATAATTTGAATTTTTGCTGTCAAATAATCAGATAAGAAAAAAAAAGATAAGATAATGTTTTTTTATGTAAATTATATCTATAAATTCTCAAACTTACCTACTCAAATTAAGGGGAAAAAACAACAATTATCTTATTTAAAAAAAATATATATTTTATTTAAATTTTTGTAGAAAAGGGGCAAAGGCCCCCTGTCTAGAACCGCCCATGATTGCGATCAAATAAACTTACCTTCAACCAGCTGATCAATACTGGTGATCTTTCTTCCATCCAGAGTGTAGATGGTTCGGACCCCCTGGGGCAAGTTGACATTGTCAGACAAAGAGCGCGTCAGTTCGGCCAGCAGTGCGTCAAAGGTCCGGAACCTGTCCGAGGAGATCGCATACACTATCCCATTAAAGTAGCGGTCTCCGTTGCGGTAGAAGCGGACCTTCATGGCTCTTTTCTCTGCGCTCAGAGTCTTCAGGGTCCGGGTCCGATACAGGCTGCAGTGGGCGCTGTGCGTGGGGCTCGGCACTCCGTTCATTTTGGCGCTGGAGCGACCGAGCCTCTGACCTTTGTCCCTCTCATCGAAATGCTCCATCTCCATTTCGCTGCTGAGACTGACGAGTACGGCTGTACTGTCTTTGGGAAACAAAGAGAGAAGAAGGGCTGCGATGGAAAACTTTATTTGTAGTTGAAGCGATGAGATAAACCAGACAAACAAAGGTAGTAAAATAAAATCAGGTGAGCTGAAGGTTCAGCCAGCCAATGTCGGTGCGCTGTCTCAAAATAACCCCCTAATGACAGATTAAGTGCTGTTAAGCCGAAGTGGACAGGGTGCTTCATGACGTCCATCTCAGTGCGTCTGGGGTGGCTGAAGAGCGACAATCACCAATTGATCAACTTATTAATATTAATAAATAGTCAGAAGCTGCGCAAACATCAGCCATGATTCATTCATCTAAATCCCATTACGCATTTATTCAGATCTCCACATGGCTTCATGTTTACAACACATCCATACGATATGATCATTTTTCACTTATAGGTTAAATAATCAAGCACTTTTTGCGCACTGACAGACTTACCCACGCGAGCGATCAAAGCTTCTGTCACGGTGACCTCCAGCCTGACTTGATGCACTTCTTCCAGACAGATGCGAAGAAAATGACTTGAGTTTGTTGGACTGCTCGCAGCTTGGATGGTGTCCCTTTGTTTTCCAGTTGATGTAGTCTGTCACCAGACACAAAAACGCGTGAATGTGACTGAATTGAAAATGGACTGGGTAGCAGCTGCTTACCCTCCTTCTTTCAGCAACCCCCTCTTTCTCTCTCTCTCTCTCTTTCTCTCTTCCCAGCTCCCACATCTCCACGTCACTAGTCGTGATTCCCATTCGACCACCCCCTCATTTCGATGCGAGCCCACGCTTCACTCTCGTGCAGGGGATGCTGTCGGTTGCAGAGGCGTAGCCAGGAAATTATAACCTTTTATAGGGCATTCAGTGAAAGACTTTAAACATCTAAATTTCAAGCAAAGAGTTCACTGCAAAAAAACTGAAATGTAGGTTTTCTTAAAATAAGTTCATTAATAAGTGCATTTTTTCTTGAACTGAGCAGGTAAGTGAGATACTTTGCAAATGGAATAAGAAAATTTACATTTAAAATAAGGGGGAGAAATGTAGTCTCCTATTTCAAGTGCATAATATCAAATAATCTGATTTTAAGGATAAAAACGCTCCTTCAACTCGAAGATGTTCTTATTTACCTACTCAAATTAAGGGTAAATACACTTACTTTAAGACATTTTCACAAATTTATAGATCATTTTAGTAGTGTGTTATTGGAATCCAGGACAAGACCTTATTACCTTTGTAACATTCAAAAAAGATGTACATTTTGATGGCATAAATGAATGTCAATGTAATAACAAGAAACGCCAAATTGCCCGTATATATTAAGAAAAATAACAAAAGTGCTTCAATAAGAAATTCATGAAAAACACTCTGAGAGTAAAAGAAATGGCACTCCATTTGTAAGGGGTATGCAAGTGATCAAAAATGGTAACTTGCCCTATAAAGGGGGGTGGCCAGTCAAAAACCAATGTAAACTGAGGGGTGGCCGAAAGCGGATAGGCACCAGAACCTCAGGGTCCATCTACACTGTTCCAACAGGAACGAGCACAACATCCATATTTTCTAAATTAAGACAAACTATACTTTCCTTTTGATTACAAATAGATGCATATAATTAAACATCCATGCTGTCTAAATAAAAGCTGTAGTGGACAAAATGTCTGGGGCAAACATCTTTTCCATTGTCATTATTTACCTACTTTTATCAAAAATTGTTCTGCATAACATTAATATTACATGTACTAATATCTACATTAAATGGATTTTTAATTTATTATTAAAGTGGTTATTTATCTGTGATTTCACTGAAAACTCCTTGATTGCTTGCAGAGATATAATTTTCTCTTTACCCCATATAACACAAAACTAGGGTCTTAAAAGAGCATGCATTTTGTATATATCACTTTTAATGTTAGTATTTTGGTGTGCATAATTAACCACAGTGTTTTAGTTGTCAAGTAACTATTAATATAAGAGTAAGTTTAAACATTCCTCTTGATAGTATTACTGCTGCCTCCGTCTGTCTTAGAGGGCGAATATAATGGTAGCCGCAGGGGTGGCCAATGATTGGCTAAGGGTGGCCATGGCCATCTCTGGCGCCCCATCTAGCTCCACCCCTGGTCGGTTACGCACCCTCAAAAGCCTCAAAGACACTTAGGGGAAGTCCTATCATTTAATATCCCATAGAAATATATATACTGGTTATAAAATGAATGCATCGTTAGAACTATTTGGAATCACTTTGGTTAGGTAAAATGTCAAGTCCATTACTCATAATATTAGATAAAAACAACCTGAAGACATACAATTAAGCTGTTTTTAACAGAGCTTTACAAAATTAAAAAAAGCTGTCAAAGTTAACCTAAGCTATGGGAAAGGATTGATGACCCAATATAACAACTGCTATGAATGATTTGTGTCACCCTAAAATGGTCTTTTTCATTACTTTTCTCTGCCTAGTTTCTTCTCTACTGTGCTACAGTATGATGATTGCGCTCACCTGATTTCCACGCAGCCCATTACATCTAATTCGTTTCCAGGTTCCTGGTTTTGTTTATTTTATGCTGTATTGTTTAGTTTTTATTTGTCCATTTTCTGTGTTATGTTTTTCCTCTTACTTCTGTAAGCTTGTGATATCACATATTGAATCTTCATCATGCGCCATGCTTCAGTCTGAGCCTCAGTAATAAAAAAATAAAAAAAGTGAAAAACAAACCACAGGTCTTTGTTTTCCAAGTTTGAAGACGTTTCACTTCCCATCCAGGGAGCTTTTTCAATTCAAAATGTCTGGAGTAGTGTTTAAGTTCCAGGCTTTATAGAGTAACCCAACAAAAGACTTGTTATACCTTAGAAAACGTGCAAATTGGACCGAAAACAGGTCCACCCATTTGTAATGAGGAGTTCTGGAGGTTTTTGTTGGCCTGCAAATTAACCTGCTACTGACCGATGCCTCTCTAATGGGGAGTCGTTAGGGTCGTTGTTGGCCTGGCTTACAGGAGCGATGTTTTGACTGCATGGCGATGAGGTTTGAGATGATAGCGGGAAGGATTCTACTCTATCGCTGCGTTATAGGTTTTCCAGAGCTGAAACCTGAGTCCACCCCCTCTGTTTAAGGTTTAAGGTTTTTTCTCTCTTAACGCAAATGGCTTCCGTCACACCCATTTCAAACCACATATCTGCTTTATCCAAAATGTGAGCATTCTGGACTTAAACAATGGTACTTTGTCCTTAAGGTGTAGGTAGACAGCAGTCTTGTCTGGAGGAGCTAGCCCGCCTGTGTTGAGCATTGCGTCTGTGGAGAGGTTGTTTGGTTTCTCTAATATAAAGATCAAAGCATTCCTCACTGCATTGCACTTCATACAAAACTCTGCTCATCTTAGGTTTGGGGATTTTATCCTTAGGATGCACTAGCTGCTGTCTAAGGGTCTTGTTTGGTTTGAAATGTACCGGGATTTTGTGCTTGGAGAAAATCCTCCAGAGTTTTGAACCTCAGTAATAATGTTTTTTTTTTTACTTGTCTTCAGGATAATTTAAGATATATTTTTGATAAATGTACTTTAAATACATGGTTGTTTTTGATCAACAGTGGTTTTGCTCTTCAAATGTCAATTGGCTGTCTCTGTTTTGCTGGAAAGTTTATTTGTGACCTCCTGGATGACACTCTATAAAGGTCAACCACTACTGCTCTCCGTTTTTTCTCCATTTGTGAATCATGTTTCTGGCTGTTGGCTGCTAAAATCAGAAAGCTTTAGAATTTCCTTTTACCACCATCTGATCAGTGACTTTATTTTTCTTCTTTTCTTTCCTTATTTTCAGATTCCAATAGAATATGTTTCTGTCGTGATCTTAAAGTATTTAGGCCTACTTAGAGATGTCAGCCAGGTTTTTGAAGTGATTTATTGATTTTTTTGATCAGACTTTCATCAGAAAAAGTTCTAGTTATTAAAACTGAACTGTGTATTTACTTTTAGGCTGCTTGCTAAACATGTTAAAGCTACAAACTTCTTTTCTGCTCTTTCTTGGCCACAAGGTTGTACTAGTTAATACATTTGTATTGTTTATATATGACTTTTAAGTAACACAAATGCACCAGCCTTAAAATTCTTTGATAGACTAGACGAATCAGAATATTTCAACTGTTTCAGTAATAAATCTAAACTAAATATTTAGCTTGCAGACAACAAACAAGGTTATTGTTACTGTAGGATTCAGTTTTCATTGAACAAAGCTTATGTAAATCAACATACTCGACATTGATATAAACCTAAGAGCTATTATTCAACTGCCACAAAATGTATTCTTATAGTTTATCTGTTTAATTTGTGGCCATGAAAATACAAATATTAACTTTTTAAAATTATTTCAACTCGACATTACATATTTTATATATAAATGGTTAGCACATTATCTCTTGAAAGCTAATGTTAATGTTCAGTTGACTTTTGTATCTCTGCTTCTTTTTTCTATGTCTGCTTCTGTCTCCTTGAAGCCCAGTCGGCCTCATCACATGGCCGCTCACAGGTTCTGATGGAGGTTTCTTCTTGTTAAAAGGGAGTTTTTCCTCTCCACTGTCGCTACAACCATGTTTGGTGTGAGGGACTGCAGATAATCGCTGAGAGAGAGTCAATGTAATCAACTGTTTTTTTCTTAGGTAAAACACTTTGAATCAATTTGACTGTATGATCTGGTTTTATTGTTGCCTTGAGATGACGTGTTGTGAATTGACTCTATATGAATAACCTGAATTGAATTCACAAGAGTTGAGAGATGTACTGAAAAGGACATATTTAATCTTTTTTTTTCATATGACAGCAGAAACATTCTCACTCAGTGGGAAAAGATAGCAGCTACTGACCTACATGAAGACCTCTAGAGATTAGCCCATTCACTTGATTCTGATGAAAGTCCTGATGAACCGTACACTCCTGCGTCATAAGTTTAACGTTGCAGTCTTACATTGAAAATCTAGCCTTACATTCTCAGACTAAAACACTATATATAACCGAACGGCCTGTAGAAACTTCTTTGATTGAGTCCCTTTTCCAAATATGCACAGGGATCTATTTGTATGAGAGTGGCCCATATACAGCTTTTTAGTTTTAAGGACAAACTTTCGGGACACAGTGTGCATCACAAGGTGCTCCTGTCTAAATTAATCCTGAGGAAGCAGGACACACACAATATGGGGGATAATGCCTTAAAACGAAGGCTGCAGAAATGAAGGTCAACAGTTGAATAGATAATTGAATTATAGATATCTTGAGTCATTAGAACCTAGAATTGCTTTAAATTAATGGGAGAATCTGAGTTCTTCTTTAGAAATCACAGACACATCCACACACACAATGACAGCCAAGGGATAAAAGGCTAAAGTTAAGAAATCCACTATAAGTAGGTGAGAATCTACTGAATGGTCTGTCTTTTTTTTCTGCAACAATAATTGGACAAATAATCTTATAATTACATGGACAAAGCTAGAAATTTAGTGGGCTTCACAGTAGAGCAGTAGATGGCAGCAAGAAGGTTCCAGTTTCAATTTCTGGCCTGGGGTCTTTCTGCATGGAGTTTGCATGTTTTACCTGTGCATGCATGGGTTCTCTCCGGATATTTCAGTTCCTCCCACTGTCCAAAAACATGACTGTTTGGTTAATCGGCTTCTCTAAATTTTCCTTAGATGTGTGTCATTGGTTGTTTGTCCTGTTTGTCTCTGTGTTGCCCTGCAATGTACTGGTGACCTGTCCAAGGTGTAGCCCGCCTCTCTCCCCAGGCACCAACACCTCTTGTGACCCCAGCGAGGATAAGTGTGACAGAAACTGGATGGATGGAAGATAGAAATTTACAAGAATAAATTTGATTACAAAACAGCATCCTTTATTTCAAATGTTTCATAAATTACTGAACCTTATTGCAACCAGACGAAGAAAAAGTGTTAAATTTGTCCATGCTCTTGTAGAAACATAACTGTTGCACCTAAAAATATTCAACCTTCAATGAAAGTTTGGTTTCTTAGCAAATTCTACATTGTTCAGGTGTTTACAAAAAAAAAAAATACACAAGAGCATAGTTCAGTAAAACAAATATTGTAATTATCTCATCAAAAATGAAAACTAAATCCTACCAATTCTTACAGCTCCAGTCTTAAACTCATTTAGACTCTTCAATAGGGTTATTCATGAGAGCGCCCATTTGCGAATCATTACGGTATCCTAACACAGGATTCCACCAATCAACAGTTTTCTTAGCTGCATTAGGTTTACTTGAGAAGGAACATGTCAATTACATGGAGTGTTAAAAGCACTGTTTCCTATGAATATGGCTAAACCATAAAACACAGGAAACAGATTGTTGCTTTGCACAAAGAATGTTTACATAGGCCATAGGTACTCTTAGTGATGCAGCTGGAATGATGCAGCGGAAATACCTTCTGAACTCAACAGAAAGAGGAAGCTATAATCAGGGGCTGCCATCAGATTCCCAAAGAGGTGGGTGGTCAAACACCCTCAACTGACTACTAAAGACCTGCAGCAATACAAGCAGTACCTTCTGGTGTTTCAGTTAAGGCACTTAGTAAATGCCAAATGGCCATATAATTTCACACTGGTAATAAGTACTGACTATGAAGCACATAAAAAAAATCTGCTCCCATATGCTGACACCTTATAAATGAGCTAAAGATATTTGGAGATTTTGTTCAAGGGAGCGATTAGTATAAACTGGGGCATTTATGGCCTATGGATAGTTTTATGTGTGGATGAGAGAAAAATGAAGAACATGTCTACAGTGAACCACTGTAGTCAAACCCTCTTTGGACTTTTCTCCACAGAGACCTTTTTTTTCCCCCAAAAGTGACCTACGTTCCCTTTAATTAGAGCAACTGAAACAATGATGTGTGAGATTCATGAGGGGGGGTGAGCAATTCTTCTGTGCCCTTCCGCCAAAACATCCAGGGGAGATTTTGATAAGGGAGGAGGCCGAATCCAAAATAACACTTGTTTTGAGAGCAGAATGCACAGGAAGTTTCCGTCAACCTTGAGTCTTTTCTTCCTGGCCTCATGTGGCAAACCCAATATTCCAAATTTGTTGGGCTTTTCCGGCTTGTAACCAGTGTGCACATTCAAGATATCTCACCTTTGAGTTCAACCACCGCAGCCAGCCTGCGTTCAATTGCACCCAGCATACGGCTCGGCTCCCAGTCCTGCTCATTCACAGTTTTTGTGAGGGCATCAACTGCTGTTGGCAGCCTGATCAATGGCCAGATTTCTACCGACATCCTATCCTCCAAATCCAAACAGGAGAAATCAGAGAATCATAAATCTGACGAATCCATAATTTACCAGCTCATATATAGGGCAAAGTGGAGATATTTGGATCTGATGTTGAGTCGCTAATACAAACAACAAAATAAAACCTTAAATAAAAATTAAGATTCAAAACTAAATCATAATCATGAATTGTTTTAGGCCCTTGCTTTACCATTTTTTGATTTCAGTAAAAGAACTGAAATGTTCCCCCGCAAAAAAAAAAAAAAAAATCCTTCTGGCAGTTTTACAGACCACTACTCCTCATGGATATTTTTTTTTTTTCTAGACACCCACATGTTTAAAGATGGTCAGTGGGAAGGATGGAGTTGAATGCTTGCTCTGTGTTTTAACTACAATAATCTGTAGATGCTGTGCTGCTTACGTAATTCATGTTGTAGGTGGTGCTTAAAAAAATGCTTCAAAAGAAATGTCAAACTTGGCAGGCCTCTGAGACATAGCTGTTTACCTCACCATTTTCCAAGCTTGTAATACAACACTGCCAGCTTGCTTCTGAAAAAATACAATTAGATCAGATTTCGAAATGCGTTCATAAATCTATACAGAACAAGAATATCTCAGTATTTAATCTAACATGAGGTGCAAAGCATTTTAAAAGGCTGGTTAATTAACCACTCCCTTAATCTATCAATTAACTCTCTGACAAAGTTAAATCTTGCCATTGACCAGGGAGCCATGTTATATGCAAAAATGAAATTAATATAAATTGTATAGAGTTTAAGAATCACAATAAGCACTAGTAATGCTTTTAAACATGTATAGTATTTTTATATTTTAATGAATCAAGTAATGAAACATAAAACACATAAACATTTGATAGAAATACAACTTAAAGATTTAAAGGGAATTCAGAGTGAAGGTTCATACTATCTTGTAAATTTAACTGTATTTAAAGTCTATACATTTAAACCTGTGGTCATGACACATTATACTATTTTGATTAACGCTTTTATTACCTTTTCAGGCAAAGAGTTCCAGAACACTGGTTAACATTCACTACTCGCTGTAAGTAGGTAATGCTCAAAGTTACTGAGTTTTCCACTAGAAGATTAAATTCCTTCTAATGTCATGATATCAACATTTTTTTGCATAGGTATTGGTAGGGATGCAGATGTCTTCTTATGTGACCATTTTCTATCAGCCCATATTGCTAAATGGGAAAATGTAAATAGGTTGAGTCACAATTTATTACATTATAAACCCTAAAGAAAAGGAATTGCAGCCATGTACAGGTTTAAGCTCCTCCCCTCCCAAGATTTTGATTTAAGGATCCTTTTTTAGCCGATGTTTTAAGGTTGGTAACTTGCTTTCTCTTAGATGTTTCTTCTTCATTTCTCTCTCCATCGTTGAATCACAGCCCCCTCCTCCTCCATTTACACGTTCAATCAATCCCTCCTCCGTTCTGTTGTCAGAGGCAGCCTGTACCTTCCTACGAATGTGTTTTTCTCTTTGTGCCCTTAAACAAAAATACAGAGACAAGCAGCAGTAAATGAATGAACATCTGCTAACATGAATTATACCTCTTTCACACTTACAGCAAAAAATAAAAATAAAAACATCTGCTTATTTATCTTTACCATTTGTTGTCTAAATCAGGTTTGCTATCATTCAAATTCTATTCAATTCCAAAAATGTGATGTAAATTGAAGGACTGCAAATATAGACTTTAACTGACTGAAATCAGTTGATAATTGATCTAGAAAAGAAACAGTAATATGTGACTATACATTTGCATGAATTAATCTACTGTTATCATGTTACATAAAGTTAAAACTTAACACACTGATCATCTGTTGGATGTAACAAACCTGATCTGTTTGATCTCTGGTGCCACCTGTCGTCGATTGGAGTACTGTCTTCTTTGCAGCGTTTGAACAGAGGAAAGCTGCAGGGTAATTAGAGTTTAATTAATATATATAAATTAAAGTTTTCTTTATTTTTTTGTATTACTGCAGGCAATAACACATAATTTTAATGATATGTTTATGGAGTGTCAAGAATGTAGTTCAGTTTCAGCTCTCCAACTTCTACAACATAGGGCAGCATATTATTTTTCTTATGATGCACTTGGATGCATAAGAGAAGCTGGAGTGTAGAATCATAACTAGGCCTGTAGAAGAAAGGAGAAAACCTGTGTAGATCAAGTCAGAAGCTTGCATTCATCCATCATATGTATGAATATACTCACAGGCCACTTTATTAGGTACACCTAACTCCAACTGCTCGTTAACACTTAATTTCTAAGCAGCCAATCACATGGCGGCAACTCAGTGCATTTAGGCATGTAGACATGGTCAAGACAATCTCCTGCAGTTCAAACCGAGCATCAGTATGGGGAAGAAAGGTGATTTGAGTGACTTTGAACGTGGCATGATTGTTGGTGCCAGAAGGGCTGGTCTGAGTATTTCAGAAACTGCTGATCTACTGGGATTTTCACGCACAACCATCTCTAGGGTTTACAGAAAATGGTCCGAAAAAGAAAAAACATCCAGTGAGCGGCAGTTCTGTGGGCGGAAATGCCTTGTTGATGCCAGAGGTCAGAGGAGAATGGCCAGACTGGTTCGAGCTGATAGAAGGGCAACAGTGACTCAAATAACCACCCGTTACAACCAAGGTGGGCAGAAGAGCATCTCTGAACGCACAGTACGTCGAACTTTGAGGCAGATGGGCTACAGCAGCAGAAGACCACACCGGGTGCCACTCCTTTCAGCTAAGAACAGGAAACTGAGGCTACAATTTGCACAAGCTCATCGAAATTGGACAATAGAAGATTGGAAAAACGTTGCCTGGTCTGATGAGTCTCGATTTCTGCTGCGACATTCGGATGGTAGGGTCAGAATTTGGCGTCTACAACATGAAAGCATGGATCCATCCTGCCTTGTATCAACAGTTCAGGCTGGTGGTGGTGGTGTCATGGTGTGGGGAATATTTTCTTGGCACTCTTTGGGCCCCTTGGTACCAATTGAGCATCGTTGCAACGCCACAGCCTAACTGAGTATTGTTGCTGACCATGTCCATCCCTTTATGACCACAATGTACCCAACTTCTGATGGCTACTTTCAGCAGGATAATGCGCCATGTCATAAAGCTGGAATCATCTCAGACTGGTTTCTTGAACATGACAAGTTCACTGTACTCAAATGGCCTCCACAGTCACCAGATCTCAATCCAATAGAGCATCTTTGGGATGTGGTGGAACGGGAGATTCGCATCTTGGATGTGCAGCCGACAAATCTGCGGCAACTGTGTGATGCCATCATGTCAATATGGACCAAACTCCCTGAGGAATGCTTCCAGCACCTTGTTGAATCTATGCCATGATGAATTGAGGCAGTTCTGAAGGCAAAAGGGGGTCCAACCCGTTACTAGCATGGGGTACCTAATAAAGTGGCCGGTGAGTGTATACCATTTAATTATGAACTACTGGTCTTTATTCAATTGTTCTTTAATTGTACAAGACTAGAAAAATCCAACATGCAATTTAAATGACTTTGGGTATACTATTCTAATCAGGAATGGTAGAGCTCATTTAAAGCTGTAATTATTCTAGCACTTGGAAGGCTTTTAAGTTCATACAATTTAAACAGGATAGTGGTTTTTCTACTTTTATGTTTACCCAATTAATTCATTCTAAAGTCAGCCATGATGTATGTTTGGGATCATTTTCCTGCTAGAACACCACACTTTGTCCTAGATTCAACCATAACTATTCATTCATGGTGACATTGAAGAATTTGAAGGTACTGTAGTTGTCTTTTTTATTAACCCACCCACCTGCGCACCAGTACCATTGGTATCAAATCTAAACCTTAGCCACCACCATGTTTGTCATTGTGATCAAACAGTTTGACTTTTATCCCCTCTGATCATCAAACCCTTCACCAGGAAACATCTTTTACTGGTTTCAATCATGCTTAAAAGGATAAATTTTTCTCTTAGTCATCACCTTCTTAGTCCATGACACTTAAACTGGCTCGGAGAGTGACACTGGTCATCTGAAGATGTCAGTTTAGGTATGATGGTTCAAGTTTGCACACAGTTATATGTTCCAATAGAACAATGATCCTATTTTCACATTGAAATTATGCTCAGTGAGTTCACGAATTTTTGAAGAAGAAGAAAAATTTAGGTTAATAATGAAAAACCTTACATTTGAAATCTGTGCTCATGATGGCTGCATTTAAACTTCTGACCAGGTGACACTATATGTTCTTGGCAGAGATCACCCTGAAGGGATTTTTTTTTCTTTTTCAAATGCTTACCGTAGATATTTCTGTAAGGTATGCTCGCCTTTCATCATTGGTTTTATGGAAAGCCTGAGAAGTGAAAGAAATAGAGAACTATGCAGTCACCTCATGGGTGCAACCTTTGATTTGTGTCAGTGGTAAAGAGCAAGATATTAGTGATATTTACCTCATACCTCATAGGTTTCTTAGCAAATCCATAAACAAAGAATAGAAATGATTTGAATTTGTTCCTAATTAGATTTCTTGTATTTAAAATAATAATTTCTTGGGGGGATTTAACCCACTGATCCTTACAAATCTCCTCACAATCCCTCCCCTGTTCTTTTTCTACAGAAACGTTTAGGACCCAGACCTTTCCCTCCTGCTCGATTTGAAGGTAGCAGTCCCTCAGCTGTTTCTGGAGCTCAGATTTCTCCTCGGTCAGGACCATAAGATGTTGTCTGAGCATTTCCTGTAAAAAAAATTTAAAATAACACTTAAATGTGTCAATCAATCTGGTGAAGACTAATTAAAAATAATGGTTAATTGCAATTCCCCTATAATATTAAAGAAAGATTTTTTTTTTTTAAATGTGTTAATAGTTAATGCTGACATCAAAAGTATGATAATGAATGAGGCTCATAAATAATCCATCAACAATTTGTAACGCTAATCCCTATTCAGCTCAGCTGCTCAGTCTATACTTCTGTCACACTGTTTGCAGTTAGCTCTTGGACACACTAATGAGCATCTGTTTATATGCCTTTAGGCTGACAGGCTGAATGGTGGTTCAGCTTTATTGTATAACCCTTCAGTGTAACACGTATTGGTGTGTATGTGTGCGTATAAGTATTGTAATTAGACTGCATTACTATCCCATGGCTGTTAATCCCATGATTAGAGAGCAGTGATTAAACTCTGGTTTATGCAGCCTGCATCATCCGGAGCATGGAGAGTAGCTGGCTTCACAATAAATGTAAACAAAACGTTTACACTTATTGTGTGCCTCTAGTGCTCTCTGCTGGTGTAAGTGGTTCTTTGCATTTTCCTCATGAACAGGGAGCTCTAATGCATCAGAAAATATCAAGTGAATTAATATGCTCTAAATAATCTCAACTTATTGCGTATTATAAATATAGTGCATTTCACAATATATTATGAAAGCTGCTATTAGCTGGAAAATGGTCGCATGTATCCTTGAGATTAAAAACGGAAAGTCAATAAAGCTCATCAACATGTAAAAGTAGATAGGAAAAATACTTTTGGAAATAATAAATTCAAGATGTCCTGAAAAATATTTAAGAAATTTGCATGAAATCACTCACAACTGTCATGCCTTCATATGAGCGGATGAAAGCCAACCGATCTGAGACAAAAAGGACAAGAGGGAGCATTTTGATTAGATCAATGCACAACATTTTCAGGAACAAAGGAGGCAATGGAAACATAATGTTTTATGTACGGATATATAAAGAAGGCAGCTAGCTTAAATACAGGAGCTACATCTCATTTTTTTTATCATTGTTTTTCAAACAGGGAAACCTTTGAGCTACAATTTAAAATGAAATATTTCAAGTTTTTATTTTATGCAATTTCTATAATTGTGGCTCACTGATAATGACTTATCAAAGTTTAATGTCTTGGAAAATCTTCATATTACATAACACTAATTCAGAAACGTTTTATGTAAAAATATTAAATAATGGCCATATAATTGCCTGCAAAGTCACAGGAAATTTTTAATTTGAGAAATATAATAAAGTTTAAAATCTCATTTAAAAGTACCATGAAATAAAAGAAGGCTCATTGTATTAAAAGAAAGCAATGGCTCACCAACAGGGTTTCCTTTGATGCTCTCCAGTCTCTGCTGAACATGTGTAATCTGCTTCTCCAGCTGTCCATTTAACTCTACCTGTGTCTCAAACCTTGTCTTCCACTCGTTTTCTAAAAACACAGCAAAAAAAAAAAACAAGCCAATCTAAGGAATAAGCAAACACATCCCAACTGTACAAGTATATTGAAATATTGATTTGAAAAAAAGGGAAATATTTTAGTATGTTCTTTAAGAAAATTATAATTATATATCATATAGATTCATTACATAGATTTAAAGATATTAGGCCTTAAATATTTGGATCTTGGTTATTTTGGCTTACAGATATACTAATTGTCTAAGAAAATTAGACTATCCTAAAAGAAAAAAAAAAGTTAAACTTGTGGTGTCAAATGCCATTTGTATGCATAAAACCCCAGTAAGACATTTAGAAAATTTGAATTAAAAAAAACAGAATTGTCAGGTTTCTGAATACCGTACGTTTTATTACTGGCACTGCTAAGGTTTAATTGGAACCTCTTCTGTGTTGCTTGGTATGGTGTCTCTTATCTTCTTCTTCCAAATAGCCCATAGATTCTCTATAAAGTTCAGTTTTGCTCTCTGATCCAGTAAATTAGAACCATTGTCACTGAACTAACTTTTAGTACCTTTAGCAGTGGGCAGATGCAAAGTCTAGCTTGAAAATGAAATTATTATAGCCACACAACTTGTCAACAAAAAAAAAGCATTAAGCTCCAATGTTTCCTGTTAGATGGCAACAATAACAGTGAAATTCATAAAAACAGTTATTGGATGCCAAAATGTAAAAAAAAAGCTGTGCTTTTTGCTTACATTTGGTGGTGAAAGCCAATTATAACTGTTAAATGACATTATGAGTCTTTTCTTTCTGTCTGCTCCTCTAATTGTAGCTCTCTTCCTGCTCTATGCTTGCCCTGCTCTCTGTGACCCCCTCTGTTGCAAACTCTTAATTAAGCTTTGGTGATAAGCTATTTAGGGGCAGGCTGTTCCGACCAGACTTCTCATGGATTATAAATACTATGAAGAAAAACAATTTATTTTTTTCACCTCAAAAACAAGAAAATTGGAGCATGTGGCTGCCTTAAAATGGTGGTCCCAGAAAGCAAAAAAATTAAGCCACAGCCTGGGATGCACTGTGTCAGACACATAGAGGCGACATCAATAGGTTGACTGATTTAAACACAGGGAGGGCAGGCATAGAAAATGTCTCATCCACCCTAGAAGGGCAGACGAAAGCACCTAAGGTCCAACTTTGAGGGTTCCAACCTTAGTGGTTATGGCACTTAGATCCCATGAGCCCACACCTGTGAGCCCAACGGTTCTGCCAGCAGCCGCAATTAGAGAGCTGAATGCAGGCAAGAGGCTTCAGCTGGCCTTGAGGAGGACAGTGGTACACCAGAGAAACCCACCAGAGAGACATAGCAGGGAGCAAAGCCGGCTGGCTGGAGCCAAAAGCAGGAGATCCAGTGAGAACATAGTAGATCAGATAAATTTTTACATTCAGCCCTGTATTTACAGTGGACACATGAAAATCACCTTAAAATCATCACTGACTGTAAAACAGCCTTCTAGGACATTGATTTCTAAAATGCAAATTTCACCTTCATCTGAAAAGAGGCCACAAATCAACAGCTGGCCTCTGATTCAGGAGCAAAATGAGTCACAAGGAATTCAACATTTGTGGCCATTGGACAGAATTCATACATTTTTAGTGAGTCTTTGCTTGATAATCTTCTCAAAACTGCCTTTACTCTTGTTTGACCATTGCCAAGCAGGTTTTCCTTCCACCAAACTTTCTCTGAAGATGCTAGTATACAGCATGTGAACAAACAGCTGTAGCAATGACCTTCTCTGGATTGCTCCCTTTGCAGAGCACAACTATCTTCCTTACAACTGCCAAACCGATCTTTTCCGGTGTCTCCTATAATCCAGACTAAGAAAACATATACATTTTAGAGGCTTAATAGTTTGCACATGTTTTAATTGTATTAACTAAAAGTGGTTAACACCATGTTTCTCCAAAATATATTTTAAACATGTAAAACCCCAGAATTTTAAGCATTCGTCATCCATACAGAAAAAAATGTAAATATGTATAATTATTTCAGTATATGTGTAATCTATATGACAGGAGTTTGACTTTCTGGAAAAGGCACAAACTAGTTTAATGTTTACACAATAATTTCTGAAGCTTTGTGTATAATATTCTTACCTTCCCCATCAACATTGTGCAACCTTTCTTGCATTTCAGCAACAGTATATCGCAGGTCAGAAACAGAGTCTATGAGCATCTCTCTGCAAACAGAATCAGGATGTAGATTCCACCTTTTCCTCAACCTAACATTTTATTTAAGCTTTTAAAGGGTTAAACTCACCTTATCTCAACTTCTTCTCTGAATTCTTCTTGCAGTTGTGCCATGCCGTCCTTACTGTAGTCGTTCCCTTTGGCCATTTCTTTTTTTCGGGGAGAAAATTTAGAGCAGTCAAGTTTGTAGCTCGTGGTTTCCATGGAAACCGACATTTCCGGATCGGACCCGTAAACGGAGGCTTCACCCTCCCACCCCACCCTCAGCAAGGTTTAAATTAACCTACTTTAAATGTTGCCACTTTTGCAATTTTTGTTATTTTTATTTTATTTCCTTTTATTTTGAGACTGATCGGTTAAAGTTTGCCTTTTACTTCGTGTAGTCTGAATAAATCTATACTTAAAAGCTCGCTTGTCACTCCCAATTGGTCAAATGCGCGTCCAGCAGACCGGGCGCTCAATATTCAGCAAGACTGGCGGGCTCCTTAAGATATTTAAATTAATCACACCACAACGTTATCCTTGAAAGTATAAAAACAAAACAGTATTTTCACCATTCCTCCCTATTAAAAATTGTAAAGTGAAATCAAAATAACCGTTAAAGTTCTAGGCTGCTATTAATGACTAAATTGTTTTGGAAAACATTTTACATTTGTTTGGTTGTTCTAGAATAGAATAGAATAGAATAGAATAGAATAGAATAGAATAGAATAGAATAGAATAGAAAAGAAAATCCCTTTATTGTCCCACAATGGGGATATTCTGGTGTTACAGCAGCAAAAATTATATCAAAAGTGGTCACACAAATGTAGACCTTAGAAAAGTGTATAGAAATAACTGAACAGTGAAGAGTTGAAATTAAATAAATAAACAAATAAAATACTGTACTGAAAAGTGTTTTAATAATAGAAATACTGTGCAACTAGAGAACAAATGACAAATATACAGCTGTGGACATTTTTACAGTAATGGATTTTTCAAAGATGTGCAAAATGACAGCAGCATGTTATTTAACTGACTAAGACAGAAATCTTGCAAAAATCTGCATGAATGTAACAATTTATTGAGGTTGGTTGTGAACAGTGATGGTTATAGAGTCTTCCAGCTGCTGGGAGGAAGGATCTGCGATAATGCTCCCTGGTGCATTTAGGGTGCAGCAGTCTATCACTGAAGGAGCTTTCCACTTCAGCAACAGCTTTATGCATGGGGTGGGAGACATTATACAACAGAGATGTAAATTTAGTGAGGACCCTTTTAGTTAAGATGTTAGTTCTAAAATGTTGTAATGGAGAATACAAATGGCAAAGAGCTGTGGCATTCTTTCCGAGTGTTGGAAGGACCCTCTTAATTGCAGCTCCAATTCACCATCAGAGCACTTTTGCCTCTTAGTTAGTAAAGAGTTGCCACCTGGCTTAAACTCCACACAATGACTCACTTATGAAGGCTAATTTTTGGTGGGAGGAGAACGGAATTAGCTGTGACATTTTTGTAAGTTATCTATGTCCTGCAGCATCAAAGCCACCTTAGACCATCACACTGCCACCACCATACTTTATATTTGATTGATTTTCTGCCTCTAAATGATGCTCAAGTTCCACAAGTAATTCACTTCTTTATCATTGTATTATAAATGTTTTCCTAAAAGTCTTGGAGCTCTTTGGCCTTTTTATGGTAAGCACAGGCCAGGCCTTTGGGTTACGTTAGTGTGGATAAGGTGAAAGCAAATGAAAAATGGACGCAGTTAAGTAAGTGGCAAGAATGAACTAATAATCCAGTTATCAGTGTCAAGATCGTGACATATAGTTGGACTACTTTTTTTCCCATTTCTTGAATTTGTTCAGTCAGCGTATTGCTTCTTGCTTTTATCTCTAAGTCTATTTGGTTTTGTCTGACAGATTATTAAATTGTTTCTTTATTATTTATTTATTTATTTTGCATTCTCGATAGTAATCAGGAATGACAAGTGGAACTAATCTCAGCTTTGCAAAACAGAGGCAATAGGTAAGCGAGCAAGGATGTTTACCGACGGCACTGTAAAAGAGAAACCAAAAGACAACACAGAAAATAGACAGAATTTTTCTAGACGTTTCTATTTATAATGACATGTTAAGTAATTTTACATTACATACAGCCAATTCTGCTCACAAACACACGCACATTCATGCAGATATGCACACCATGAAGCCCGGCTAAGTGTGTGGCATATGTGGCAGACAGTAGCTGAAGACAACCCAAAACAATTAGATTGCAAGGCAACTCTTTCACTGAAGCCAGTCACTGCTAAACATAACTTCGAACATAACAATAATAACATAATTCAGCTTACAATACCTTAAATATTCCTTTAAATATATATAAAAAAAACATCAAATAAAACATTAGTGTTAATGAAAATCTGTTATTTCTTTTCCATTTGTTCCTTCTGCACATCCTTTTCCTTGGTTGGTGCCTCCTCTTTCTTCTCCTGCTTCTCCTCAGCCTGAATAGGGTGTTCATCTTTTCGTAACTTCTTCTTTTCAGTTTCTTTTCCTTCATCCTCGGGTTTTACGAACATGGCCTTGGCAGTCTCTTTGCCAGTAGTCTTCAAGAAGGCTTTCAATCCCAAATTGTCAATATTATGTGCAGTCAAACCAATATTGCCCACTGAGCGGAGAGCTGTGTCTGTGGCTTGGCCAGCATCATCGCCATACCTTCATCATAAACATTTATAGGGTATGAGAGAAGAGTGTGATGAAAAATAAAATAAATAAAGCACACGAAATCTCAAAGATCTTTTAATATTTTAGAAAAGTGTATACGGTATATATATCATAATTTTGATTGAAACAGAAAACTACACATATCAGGTTGCGTTGATTAGTAAGCAGTAGTGATGGGTCCAGCAACACCGATGCAAGAACATAGAGCAAAACACTGCATCGGTGCATGTTTCGTTTCAAGAAAGTCATGTGACCGATACAGGATTTATTTCTAACTGATAGACACACTAAACTGTATTTAAAGCGTATCTGTCAGCATGATGCATCTGCTAAAAAAAAAAGGTCTAATTTTTGCGGTTTATCATTAAAATGATCAAGAAATTTGGAGCAGCCTAAAGGGAATAGGAATGTTTCAGCCATTGCGTTTTTATTTAAATTTTCTCATTGTGTCATACATATGTTATCACTCAGCTTATCTGAATTAAAGTTCATTTCAAATTGACTCTTAGTTTATTTACTGTTTTCAGTGCACTTATCGTTTTAAAATTATGATTTAAAAACCTAGTCCAGCATCCTCATTCACATTTTCCCCTTAATCTTTACGTTATATCTTTACATTATTTATTAGTGGAATGTAAAAATATCAAATATATTTTCAATTTAAACATAGATATGAAATAATAGAATATAACCTACAATAACCTAAATTATATAATTTCACTAGATCATCAAATAAATTCTGTTTAGTCAGTAAAAGATGCCTGTTGTGTCTTTAAAGGTCCAGCAGGTATCAGTATTCTGTGAGACAGTATCAACGCAATATCAATACAGTATGGCAATTTGTCGAAACGCTTCCAGATGCCTCATTAACCCATCACTAGTAAGCAGGGCATGTACAGTGCAATGCAAGCCATTTAGATGCCTATGCGAAAAGAGCCACAGCAATTCCACAGTCAATGAAAATCATAGTTTATGTGAAAATAAGCATAGGAAAAGAAGTTTGAGGATATACACATTTATTTTGTGCTACACCAGTTTTGTGTGGGGTTTAGTAAAAGCAAAACTAGACAGATTCAAAGACAGATCAGTTAATTCAAAGTGACAGGCCTTTACTTCCCAGTGTGCTCATATCTTGCCAGACATGTTTATAAGATTCTCTAAACCCCTAAATCTGAAAAGAAACAACAGTGTGGGAAAGTCAGTGCACCAGCATACCAAGAAGAAAGATAGTAGCAGGCAATTATAAAAGAGGTTATTAAACATGTCTTCTATTGATGTTTAAAGTAGGGATGTCACAATCTAGGAAGTTAATGATAATAATAATCAGTATTAGTGTCCCTCACTCAACTCCTTGTACCTGAAGTCATATTTTTGGGGTTATTAGTTGAAAACATCACAATTCCTTCTGAAGACAGAACCCCAACTATATAAGCTGAAGGTCAATGAAGTTGAAGCCGTTTCTTTTGTTTTCTAAAGCACCTCTAGCTAGCAATGTTTGTAAAATTTGCTCCTCTAAAAAAACAGTTGTTTTTTTTTAGAAACGTGGGCTGAGATTTCACTGCAACTCCTTTAAACCTGTTTTATATGCTGTGCCTTTTATTTCATTGATATATAAAATCATCCATACATCCATTTTCTTTACACGCTTAATCCCAAGTGGGGTTGCGAGGGTTGCTGGTGCCTATCTCCAGCTGTCAATGGGCAAGAGGCAGGGTACACCCTGGACAGGTTGCCAGTCCATCGCAGGTCAACACACAGACAAACAGGACAAACAACCATTCATGCACACACTAGCACCTAAGGACAATTTTAGAGAAGCCAATTAACCTAACAGTCATGTTTTTGGACTGTGGGAGGAAGCTGGAGTACCCGGAGAGAACCCATGCATGCTCAGAGAGAACATGCAAACTCCATGCAGAAAGACACCGGGCCGGGAATCAAACTCAGAACCTTCTTGCTGCAAGGCCACCCACTGCATCACTGAGCAGCTATATAAAATCAGAGTTTTGAAATTCCATGAGGCATGGCACTGCCTGATGCAGTTTGATGTATTTAGTTTGTTGTAGGCTCATAAATGGTCAATTTGGTTACAAACCAAACCAGTCCTAGCTAACAGCCCTGAGTTAAAACAGTCAGCAGAAGGAATAGACTCCCACTGCCTGACTTTCATCTGCAAAGCTAGTTTAGGACTTTTGCCTACATATTAATGCAAGCATATGTGTGGAAACTTTAATCAATAGGGCCTTTGTTTTCAGGGTATCGTCTTGATGCAGGTTCTGAGAGTCAAAAAGGATTTTGAATTCTGTTAACCCAGCAACCTGGAATAATGTGTAGAAGGACTTGAAATTGAGATTTCTTTTTTATCATTGAGGGAATTCTGATCTTTTAGAAATGGCTGGGTAAAAAGCATGTCTGAATGTTGTGTCAGCATTTTGTAAAATGATCATTTTTCTCTGTGTGATCTATGCCTGT